CGTTGAAAGCCATGAATATACAAACAAGACTGGAAGGTCTGCACAGCCTCATTGTTAGAAAGTTGGAATATCGAGACGCTCAGACATTACAACGTCCCGCATCCTAGCCTGGATGGATGACCTGGCTAAAAAAGCTGTCGAACGAGAGGCTTAATTAAGATCAAGACGCGAAATTTGTGGGCTGCAGGCACTGGAAAGATACGATGAGAGGTTTTGTTCTTGTTTCCTTTCCCTTCCCTTCCCTTTTCTTTTCTTTTCTTTTCTTTTATTTGACCACGATGGCATTTTCGGAGATTTCGAAACGCTAGCTGTAGCGGTATCGAGAACATAGGTAACCTTTTTACTGGTCTGTCCGAGACGAGAGTCCTTCCTGTGGTGTGTGTCCACTCACTGTCAATGGTAAGAACTCGTCGTCTTTCTCCCCGTGAATCCTGATCCAGCTTCGGCCATGTTTTTGTTCCAGGTGTAGGCCACGGGAAATCAGATGATAGGAGAGGAGCATGGAAGAGAAAGATTGTGTTGCAGGTGTAGGATGCAGAAATTCAGATGGTGCACGCTGTACATTCATTCAACCACCGATTACTTCTTCGATTCCATACTCGCTAGCTCATCAGGGAATTTCCCATGGTACATGGGGATCGGATACATCATACTCTGCCAATGGTACCTGTTGCGAGCCCACCATAGCTTACGGAGAACCTCTCAACAACACAATCATGTACGAGATTCTTCTGCAGTCTCGATCGAGACTTCATCATGCCCATCTTGTTTTTCGTTTTCTGCATCATCAGAATCATGTTCGCTCGTCGCCCACCAATGGAATGCCTTCAACGCACTTCCAGCAGCCGCAGCCCCAGAGACAGCAGCATTCACTACCACGGCACCAGCACCCCCCATTCCTGCGCTCTGCAGCGTCGCAAAGAGGCTTCCTGCGGCAACGTTTCCAATACAGCTCTGTACACCAGCGGCGGCCGATGCTGTAATTGTTCATGGTTGTACATCAGCAACTCTACATCGTCTTGTATACCAATAAGAGGGGAGGTTTGGTGTCTGAGAATGATGGTCATCGACTCATCTCTGACTCTGACACGACTTGACAATTCATGACCCTTGACAAAACCGTCCTGTAGAATCGAGCCAAAGAGTGTCTGTCATAAAGAAAGAGAGGGAAACGTACCAGCGACAGGCCCCAAGGCTCCGAATCCAAGGCCGCCCAGCGCCGGAGCTACAGCGAGGCCTGGCAAAGCAGCGACGAGCACGCCAGCGGCCACGAATGCTGTGCTGAAGGGTTTTTTCGTCGTGGCGTTGAATGCATTCTGAAAGGGGTTATTGAACGAAGAAGTCATGCTAAAGGAGGACGGTTTTCCAGAGTGAGAAGAGAGAACAGGTACGTATCAGGGGCGTCTTGCGGCTTATGAGTTGAAGGGGGGATGGAGAAGAAGAGACATCAGGTTCTGCGAGGCAATGTATGAAAAAGAAAAGAACAATCAGATCCGATCAAGGCCCTACAAACGCGAAGAGAGCACGTGCCCAGCTCTCGACGAGAATCTGCTATTGCCCGCCCCTAATAAGATCTGCCAAGTAAAAAGACTGCATGCATTGCCTGACGAGACGCAGGCGTGATCCTTTGTCGGTAAGCAGCGAAACGCAGCAATCAAGCCGCGGCGAGAGTCCGGATATTCGTATACGTTCGCGTCCACTGCGTACAGGACCGCGTTGCACAGTAGGAAAATTACATACATTACTAGCAGCCAACTACGAACTGTTCATCCCTCTTTGCTCGCTGTGTTCCAAGTCTAGCACGCGATACCCTTCCCGTATGATTTTTTTGGCCATCGATGAGTGTGAACGCACCATCCTCTATAAATGCGAGCCCTGACGTAGGCTCAACTTGCCCTGGACCTCATGTCCTCTCCTCCCATCCGATGATATCCTACTAGAAAACAAAAAAAAAAGGAAGACTGAAAAAGTGAAAAGTCGCGTCGCCGTCAGAAAGTCCCCCATCACTGAAGGCTAATCATGTCTGCCTCTCTTGACCGGGGGCGGCGACCTCGACACACTTCTAGTGTACCGTCTCTTGCCGCGCACAGGGCTTCGAGATAGACTATCCCGTCTCCTGCTGCGAACAGGGCTTCGAGAAAGACTATCCCGTCGCTTGCCACGCGCAGGGCTTCGAGAAAGACTGTCCCGTCTTCTGACGCGCACGGAACTTGGAGATGGACTGTCCCGTCTGTCACTGGGCAGGGGGCTTCGAGACAAACTATCTCGTCGTTTGCCGCGTACAGGACTAAGAGACAGACTGTCTCGTCTCCTGCTGCGCACTGGGCTCCGCGATGGACTATCTCGTCTTGGGCCTCTTGTCCCTCTTCTAGGTGGACTTGGCGACCGTGAAGGAGATAGTGATCGAGAGGTTGATCGTGACCCATGACGAGACACAGATCGTCTGCGTCGAGGTGGCGAGGCAGAGTAGGAATCCCGACGACCACGTCGAGGGGGGCTTTGCGAGCGTGAGGTTGCGCGCAGACCCACGCGCACGAGTGAACGAGAGCGAGAGCGAGAGCGAGAGAGAGAACGTGTGCGTGAGCTGTAGGATGCAGAGCGGGAACGGGACTGCGAGAGCGACCGTGACCGCGACCGGCTGTCTGAGAAAGAACGAGCTCTTCTTCGACCACGAGACGACCGTGACGTGGATCGACCTCTGATTCGACGAGGGGGCGTCCTCGACCGCGACCGCGAGCGAGACGAGTACGATGAGCCAGTATATGAGGAATAACTCGACACGGAATCCGAGTCAGATTCTTCGACCGCCGCCGGAGCCGGCAAGGCAGGCTTGGGCATGTTCAGCAGATGCTCCCTCATCTCTTCCGTGAGGGCTCCCAGCCCGATGCTGGTGAAGTAGTTGATGGAGAACCGGATGTTACGAGCATTGTCCTTGGGGAATATGCCCTCCACGTTGGGTCGTAACATGTCGTCAGCCATCCTGGCCTTGAGTTTGGGAATGCCAATCTCTTCCACAATGCTCTGAAACAAGATCTTGATGAAGATACGACTGCTCGATGTGGTCTCGTCCTCATTCAGGTGAATCACAGACAGACAATGCCAGCCGATGGAGTCGACGCCGAGCATGTGGCCGAAAAGTTGGGCAATGTTTCGAAGCTTGTTGTTCTCGTACCGGTGGATGGTGTCGTAATACTTGGCAAACGCCTGTTCAAATAAATCACACCAGAGACGGTTAATTTTGGCGAATCGCTCGCCGATCAGACCAAAGAATTTGGTGTATGTCTTTTCTTGTGAGCAACACTCGACGATCATGGAGGGAAGCTCAGGCTCCTGACCAGCCGGTAGGTTTATTTTCATCAGTTTGTGCACGGCTTCCTCAGGATCGGCACTCGACATGATGGTCAGGTAGATTGTCCTTCGCAGATTGACGAGATCGGCATTTGACTGATCCTTAATCTCCATGGCCTTTGTCTGCTCCGCTTCGCCTTCGTCTTCGTCGTCTTCCTCAGAGCTGTCGTCTTCATCGCCCTCGTCATCCTCGTCGTCACTTCCTTCACCCAGAATCTCGGCTTTGAGCTGCTTATACTCCTCTTCGTGCTTCTCCCATTCCGCATCATACTTGAAAATGTTTAGTCCGTCCTGCACCTCAATCTCACCATCCAGTTCCACCCGATGCGTGATTTGGTCTTCCTCTTCAACCAAATCGAGCTCTTCCCTGATCGCGGGGTTGTCCTTGAACTTGTCCTTGCGCACTTGGAAAAGCACCTCAACCATGTATTGTGTTCGTTTATCGATGTCGGCCTCGTGCAAGATATTCCTGAACTGGTCGAACACAGCGACCGAAATGGACGGCTGCATGTCCTCCAAGTATTGTCCCACTTCGCGGCAGAAGCCGACGGCAATTTCCACTCCATCATCCGTCGGCTTATGTAGCAGCAAAAGCAGAATCTGTCCGGCGAGCATCTCATGCTGCACCTGCTGGTTGATTAGGTGGGCGAGAAACGTCGTCGACGAAAGACACACGGACTTATCATTTCTTTTGAATCCTTTTCGGAACTGCATGATCAGGCGCATAATGAGAAGCTCACCAACCAGGGGCAGTTTGGTATTGACAATGGCCGCCATAGCCGCGTAGATGGGCGTGAAGGGCAAACTCGCGGCCTGAGCCTTCATGATGGAGCGGCAGAAAAGCCCTCGGCCTCGAATCAAGTTCTCGCCAAATAGCTCGGGAACAATGTGTTTGATGTTGGCAGTGTTAACCTTGTTGATCAACCCATTGATACTTTTCTTCAAAGCTTCCCAGGCCATGCGTTGATACTCCTTGCTCGTCTTGTCGGTGATCTGGGATTGCAGCGCTCTCAACCTGGCGGGTGGAATATATGTGCCTCCCGACCTCATGGTCAGGAGCTTCTCGTACTCTGCCTTGGCTGCAGCCTGCTTTTCTTCCTCGCTTCGCACCGGAGGCGGCGTGCGCTCTCTGCGCGGCGGCCGGTATGAATCTCCATCTCGTTGGGTTCGCTGTATCCCTCGATCTCGATCACCGCGGTCTCGCTCACGAAGCGGGATGCCCACCTCAGCTGACGCCATGGTTGGCTCCAGTTGACTGTGTCGTGCGTGTGCGTGTATGTATTTCTTGTTCCAGACTCGCGTCGAGGAGGAAAGTTCGAAATGGAGGGTTTTGCGGTGTCCAAGAGGTAGCGCGCGCGGCGCGGTACAGGCCGTGAGCGATAGTGACAGCGAGTAACTTGAGAGGGATGTCTAGAAGATATTAACAGAGCGAGGATTGATAATGGCGAGTGGGTTGAGACACGTAATTATCAAGGAGCGAGATGCTGCTTTGACAGAGAGATGCTTTGCAAGAGGTGGCTGAAAAGTGGATTCAGCAAGCTTTTGGAGGTTTGTATGTACCTCTCGGAAGTTGTGTCGAGTTGTGGTGCTCACTGCTGTGTACTTTGTAGTAATAGATCATATATGTTCTTAGTGGCTTCTAAATTCGACCCGGGGGGCTGGCGCAACGGTAGCGCGTCAGATTCCAGTCATGTGGATTACCTGAAGGTTATCGGTTCAAATCCGGTGTCCCTCATCGTGTCAACTTTTGCCATTATTTTTTGTCACATGTCTATAGATTTATCCCAGCACTCACCACCCATCATCCATCCATCTCTGGGACTTCTCTCTCCCGAGTCCCACGTATCTCTGCGGAGTGGGCGCTTTGCGCCCTACATTGCCGGCGTCAATACCTACCTAGCAATCAATCAATCGCAGTCTCGCTTGCTTGCGATCTTTTCTTACTTTGCGACTTGGTTCAAACACTCATGGACGTGGTTGATGATCATTAATCCTCCTTTTTCAACGTACGACATCTCTGGCATGGACGTAAAGCCGCAAACTATCACTTTGTGACTCTTCACTTCGAGTGTTTCTATTTGAGCACGAAGATCGCAAAGAGCAAGCAAATTATGGCGTCTTTCCCGCTTGACGTAAAATCCACATTTCCCCAACAAGTACTATTTCTCACTTGCTCAGATTCTCCGAGTCCTTTCTTCACATGAGAAAAGATGATGCTCCAAGAAAAGCTGATGTCAAGCAAAGATGGTGTTTTGAGCAAAGCAGATGCTTCGAGCAGACCTGGGGCTTTCATTTCGAGTGCGTCTTTCCCTCAAAATCCTGTTATGTGGCCTGGAAACAAATGTAATACATATGTCGTCGTTATTCGAGGCCTCCCGTTACATCACATGAAATATCCTTCCAGTCAGGGTGTGTTCCGTGACGGTTCGGTTCAAAATGGCTTCTGCCCAACGCTGAAAACATATGCACGTCAGCTCAACCGCCGAGTCAAGTTCTCCAGATGTGTGTTCCGTGCTTACATATTTCCTTCTGGCGTGAAACGGCACACATCGAAGAATTTGTATGGCTCCGACAAGGCATACGCCCTCGCACATCCGATCTTCGTCGTCGTAGACCACAAACACTGTGCTGCAACAAGGTACAACCGTCAGCAAATGAGCTTCCGCTGACACAAGTCTCATACATGGATGCAGCAAAATAATTTACCCCAGTGTAGCCACGGCTCGTGGCCAGTTGTGATGGGTTGTCCCGTATAGAAATGCTCCTGCGACAGCCAAGCATGCATGCCCGTTTGGAGCGGGTTATCGTAGGCAGCATCGCATTGCCCGGCTGATTGTTCGTACAAGTTCTCGCCCTGACTCGGTCTATTCGGCCCTTGCGCGTGCTCAAACCGACTTCTGCCACTCGCCATTTCGTTGGCCCAAAACTGAGCATAGGCTTCGAGACCGGTATCCCAAGCAAGACCCGGGACTCTGTGGGCCTGCCGAGCCTGGTTGACCATGGCTAGGGCCTTGATGGCATCATCGCTGGCGGCGAAGATTCCAATGATCAAGGCAAAGCAAGAGAACGCTTCCAGGAAGACTCTCATTTTCTTCTCCTTGAAATCAGGACTACTTTCTCCTGGCGAGAAATTCTTCAGTGCCGAGGATGTACGGGAGCAAAAAAGGGCTTTCTCGTCGGTACTCGGGATATTCATTGAAGATACTCAAGAAAAAGATCGCACACTCATCACACAGCTTTTTTATATCTTTCCACACAAGCAGCTCTCTTCAAGGCATTTTTTCATTCCAAGGTGAGAAGGAACTGATCTCGTTCTCAGTCTCGACTTACAGCCCAAGACGGCAAGTGCCCCCCACGTAGGAAACCTCAACTGGGGAAAGAAGCAAGGAGTACGACTGCCAATGCAGTGTTGCACTCTTCAGCATTGCCGTCAACCCAAAAGAAATAGCTTCATGTCTCATTTTGTGAGTTTGACCTGCGAATACATGTAGAAAGCTTCACACAGAGGCGCATCTGCTGCGGATGTAGGTATGCATGTTCTGTCGGGTTTCTCGGCCAATTGACCAATTCATCTTCCTTCTCGAACGATTTACGTATATAAATCAAATCTTGGCCAAGAAAATCCGCCAGAAGAGCCGCCAAAGGAGCACTGAGCTAGGGCCCCAATGAAATCCATACCCTCTCTATCACCCTTTCCAGTTGTTGGTAACGTCAGGTACCGCGGTATAAAAGTCAAATGATAACAAATGTCAATGACATGGAATACGGAACCAAAG